ATATTAATTATCAATACATTTATAGGTGTTAGTTTATCGGCGCCCTCCGTAAACTGGCGCCCTGTTCGAACGAACGTGTCGAACACCCCTCGAACCGGCGGGTTACTATAAAAACAATTCTTGATACATAAGAACAAAGAACTGAAAAAATGCGTCATCGGTAAAGAACGCACCTTTCAAAAATCACAAACAGGAAATATCAGGTATTTTATTTCAATTGTGCACTATCGTAAAACCCTCATTTTCGCTAAAAAAATGCTGGTAATGTCTGTAACAGATTTCTACTATCCAGAACTCCACAAGACTATCTACTCCCTTTTCCTAGAACTGGTCAAATATTGTAATAATTGAGAAACCAAATTATTTAAAACAATGATTCGAATGTTTTTCATCGATAGCTCGGCGCTCTGCAGACCTTCTTAATTGCAAGGGGAATAAAGTTTCGCTAAAAAAGAAGTGGCAACTAATAAGTATGGTTTTACATAAATTTGAAAAAATGGAATGAAATGTACCACCGAAGTTTGGGAAACGATAAGTCCTTATATTTTATATTTATATTATCTTATACTTTATAAAAATTATCCTTAAAACTTTTTTTACTTAAAGAATTGCCTCCTTTATTTTTTCAAAAGGTTAATTAACCAAAGTTTTATTATTGTTAAAGTTGGTAATGACAGTTGAAAAATTTAAAAATTTTTTTAGTTAACCGTTCCGTTGTTTTAATATACATATGTTTTCCCTTTAATTATAATTAAATTAATTTTAGACTTGGAAGAACTAGAAGGCTGAAATGATGCAAAAGATAAGAGGAAAAATTTCGTTGGAACTGGAGAAAGATCACCTATTCCGGTCGAGATCGACTACATATGATCTGAAACTTGTGGCTTTCATTAAACGGGAAGATCCTCAATTGACACCTAAAGAGAAATGGGAGGCTGACGCTTTAGGCACGTTGGACTCGGGAAACATTTCAAAAAAGCAGGAAATAGTGGAAGAAAGGCATAACAGCATAACTGACATTTTTATTAAATTTGAGATAACATCAAATTTGTATATATTTAATATTGCTCTTCAAAGTTCAATAGCTGAAAAATCATTAAAATGGTTATTAATATAGAAAATAATGGAAAACATAATCGCATAATTGCGTTTTTGACAAAAGGAGACCAGCATAATAACATAACTGCATTCAGCTTAAAAAACAATTGACATAATTAAAAATGAAAATAACCTTTATGAATAAAAACAATAAGAATTTTGTAATAAAATGTTTTTAGTAAAATACATTTTTCGTACTTTAAATTAAATATATTTATTTTAATAAAACTGGAACAAATTTTTTATAGCATAAATTGTGCATTTAATTATGTACTAATTTTTAAGGGTATTTCTATTCTAAAAAATTTTGGAAAGTATTTCAAAAAATAAATTGAAAAATTCTTCAAGTTGAACAGTAAAGTAAATTTTTTCTTCGTTTCAATAAATTAAAAACATTTTATAAAAAAATAAATTTTATAACTAAATAAACTCTTATAATTTTTTCTAACGAATTAATAGTTTAATTTGTCTTTGTATGAAAAATTTTTTTATTATGACAAATCAAACCAAAATAAATTGTGACATTAAAAGTGTCTGAAGTTGGACTCATATACAATCTGAACTTGCATAACCGCATAAGTGCAATAAAACTCATGATTCAGATGAAAAATTATCAAAATTTATATCAAATCGTGTGTTTTATTAAATGTTATAAAAGAGTTTTGAAAATATATTAAATAATAATACTAAATGCAAAAGACCGAACAAATCTGTTGATTTTCGGAATTGACAGAAGTGAGAGAACATTAAAATTAATTTATCTCGAAATCATGACAAATGCAGTTATGCTGTTATGCCTTTCTTCCACAGAATTAAAATCATAAAGAAAAAAATGAAGTCAACACGGTGAGAAGTTTATTTGTTTTTTCCGTGTTTTCTTACCGTGACTGTTGACTTCACTTGTTTTTCTCGCCGCGTTAACTTCATTTGTTTCATACTGATTTTGACAAGCCATGAGTACAATTATAAGTTTTATTATGTAATTCATTTATTTAATTTTAAGTGAAGTATAATAGTCCCATCCCCTATTGCAAATGAAAATTCTCTGTCCTTTTTGTTGAGTTATTTTCCGGAATTGTATTCATTTTTCTTTACAGTGGAACCTCGATTATCCGAACTAACCTAGGCAAGGCCGGGTTCGGATAATCGAAATTCAGATAATAGAGATTTTAATTTTTTATATAATTAAAGTAAAAAAATCGACAGTTGAATTATAGATATTTCATTTAATCCATTTTTTAGATATACATAAGTATATATACGTAAATATAAATTAATTCATAATAATATATTAATAAAACATAGAATTCAGAATTTTTAAAGATTTTTCTGGCATAAATTTCGTTATTTTCCTTTGTAATATTCGGGAGGCCAAAAAAAAGTTCGAATAAAATGATTTTCGGTTCGGATAACAGAGGTTCGGATAATTGAGGTTCCACTGTATTTTATTCAGATAAACTCTTAAGTAAGTTAGAATGTTTATTTATTTTGCTTATTTGTTTCTTTTCTTGTAGGTTGCATTTACTATTTTTATATCACATTTACGTTTGATTTTGTTTTGCATTACTTCCAATTGCTTTCCATTCCATTCATTTCCATTCCATTGCTTTTTGTTCTTTCTTTACGATTGAAGTATCTGTTTTTATAGTTACCTGTACCAAGGTTTGTTTTGTGCGCTTTTTTTTACTGTTTTTATATTTTATAAGGTTTGTGTAAAAAATTAATGACTATTGCAATTTTTTAAAATGGCGTTCAGAGTTCGGTTGACGTGTTTTACATGTAATGCTGAATTAGGCGCCAGATTGCTGTATCAAGAAGGGATCAACTGAATCATCCAGGACTACAGGTAAATAAAAATTCAAGATTAGGCTTTCAATGCTAGATGTCAATTTCAAACGAAATATCACAAGTTTGTTTGCGATTGATTGCGTGCATTGCTCCCATTACAAAGGTTCAGTTTTAAGAAATGTATGCATTTTGTAATTTAGTTATGCAACATGGGAATATGAGAAACATTACAAAAAAACATTTATTGACTTTCTTATGTAAGTTAAAACAATGATTGAGTGATGACTTTCTGCAACTTATCTTTGATTACCCAAGCAGACAATGTGTGAGTTTGCTAATAGATAACGTAAGAAAGCCCAGATCTTGCGACAAGAATTAGATAATAATGTCGATACTTTAAAAGACTGGTGTCAAAACGGTGATATATTTCTAGTTGATAGAGGATATCGCGATGTAAGGCCACTTTTGGAACGTTTGGGAATCAATGTCAAAATGACAGCTCTTCTTAATCGAAGTGAGAAGCAACTAACAACAGAAGATACTAACGAATCTCGTTTGTTACGAAAAGTCGATGGATCGTGGAAGCTAGAAATGCACACTTTCGATTAGTTTTCAAGTTCCTTGCTTGAACCATTAGCAACTGTCCTGCAAAAGATCTAAATAAAATAGTTTTTATTGTATTGCAGGAGCAATTTTAAATCGTTTTCATCCATTGATTTATATGGCAGGTGCTACTCTTGAGCTTGCTAGATGAATGTTAGAGCAATCTCAAACACCTAACGTTGTACAAACTACAATGGAACTAGATAACCTCCGATTGCGAAATGGTCAATGGAGACGCTTAAATCGCAACCATTTAGCGGAATTCCCAATTTTAAGTGTGGATAATGTAAAGGAATTAATGATTAGAGTGTACCAAGTAAACTTAGCACCTTCTTACATTCAAGACAAAGTAGAATCGACGATGAATTCCAGTTCGATGAACATCTAAACAAACCCTGCTTTATGAAAATTAGAACATATTTTTTCTTCAGAAACGCAACCAGACATCAAACACTTATTTCTTTTCAAATCAATAAGCCCAATAAAGAGCCGAACTATAACCAAGACCGAATTCTCGGATACTATTGCACTTGTCAGACTGGAGCAAGAACACTTAGTTTGTGTGCTCACGTAGCAAGTATCTTATGGTTTCTGGGCTATGCACGGCATCAAGAAAATGTTAAGTATCCGGTCACATCGCTTTTGAACCACATCCTAGATGCAGCAGATAGAACACAAAACAATGAACATGCAGAAAAAGTTGAAATAATAATCGAGTAAAATTCTTTATCAGCGACTCTTATAATCCCCGAGTAACGAGTATCCATCGAATTCAATTGTTTTCTGTCAACAAAAGATTATTGTACATTTAATACATATTCTTTGATTATTTTTCAACTTTGAACCTCTGTAGCTCAAAAACTGGTCATTTTCTTAAGTTTTGCCTTATACATTTTTTATTCAGGAGGTCAAAAACTATAAATCTGCAAAGTTAAAACAAAATTGGCTGAGAGCCAAATTCAATAGTAAAAGTGCGGGGTCCTTTAGGGCCAGTTTCACCAACTCCGATTAAAAGTTAATCAACGATTAAATCCTTAACCGACCAATCATGGGCGGTTAAAATGACTTTATTCATTGATTAACTTTTAATCGGAGTTGGTGAAACTGGCCCTTAATGAGATAGTTTAACCTATCCGGTGTCCTACAAAATTAATTTGAATTTATTACCTTAATAATAAGAATTTTTAGTTTACTATATCAATAAAAATATCATTTATTAGACTTTTACGTGACACAATTTTTTGCTTTTTACCTAGCCTCCGTACGTTAATAAGAAAGTCAATTTTTGTTGGAAACTTTCTTTTCTCCAGATCCCAAGTAGTATGTATCTGTTAATTATAGACTACTGTTTCGTTCAAGGACAAGGAGTTTTTGGTAAGTATTACTCAAATAATGGTAACTCTATAGTTTAGTCTTTCTAGAAACTTGTTTATTTTGATAATACTATGTCTACAACTATGGATTTAAAGAAACTATCCAATTATCCTAATGTTCATCTCAATAATTCCATCTCATCCTCGAATAGACATCAGAACAGTAAAATAAGACAATGATGTTTGCAGAACCTTAAATTAATTTTACAAATTAATATTGAAAATTTTATTTATTACAAAATAAACATTTTAATATTGTCGAACTTGAACTTCCTATTAATTGTAAAATTTAGTCTGTAATTTTTAAATTTTTCTTACCCTCGTAAAAAATTGTAAAGAAAGTATAAATATCCTGCCAACGATAAATGTAGTTGGTCTTGATACCCTTTCCAGAATTATAAGTAACAGTTTTTTTGTTTGAGTTGACAGACAATACCAATCTGTATTGTATCTATTAAAATCAATGATAAACATTACTTTTTTGATTCCTCAACACAGGATATTAAGAAAGTTTTAATTTGTAAATTATCTAAATTTTAACTTATTTAACAAAATATCGTTTTTCTGCATTTCTCAATTGGCAAATATACTTAAATAATAAAAATTAATTATTACATGCAGCTAGAAATGCTGAGACTGTTATCCAGTAAATGTTGAGTTGGTAGAGTTAAAAAGAAAATATGAAACACTTGACATATTGCATAACATCCAAACCTTATACCATCTCCAGGACTCTTAGTACTTATTACGAACTATATCACAGAACAAGATTAAATAAAATGTCTTATATATAGATAGAAAAATTATTCTTCGCGAATCAACTAAAAGAGTTTATTTTTTTTTAATTTTATCTTTAATTCACAACAAGCTAACTCTACACGGAAAAGTTTTGGGGCGAGCAACTCTATTTGCTCTGGTAGCGCTGAGCAACTTCACGTTTAGTGGAGCAGTAGTCGCAAAAAGATAACGCAGCAGGCCTGCATTGGACGAGCTGTTCTACCAGTCATGTATCTGCCACTGACTTTCAGCGCAGCTCGTCTAGCACTGGGAGAGCAACGTTCCCAGTAGAGAAAGAAGCTCACCCATTAACAAGGCGATATGCCTTCTCTCTTTTAGGAGACCCTCTCTACGCGCGGAAAACGCAGCTCGCCCAAAAACTTTTCCGTGTAAGAAAATTGCTTTAATAAACAATTTAACTAATTACTTTGCAAGACTTGAAATTTTCTTTTAAAAAAGTAATTAAAAGACTTTTTGCAATTAAAGGATCGATAGAAGAACATTTAAAGAACGAAAAAGAACAATGAATATATGACATTACAAAGAGTATGTCACGAATTTTTTAATGTAATACCGTGTTCTTTTCATTCACAGGAAATAAATAATATTTATACATAAAATTTTAAACCGAGTAATATATTTACAAATAAGTATTTTATTTTTCATTACAAAATATAGATACAAATAATTTTTAATGATTTTAAAGTACTGACCTGAACTCCTGTTATGCTTAAATCGATTATACTAAGCCCAAATACCAAAAGATAGGCTGTTGAAAAAACATTTTGGACATCATTGACATATCTTGAAAATTGAAATATTGAAATCAATTTAAAATAATCAGTTAACTACACAGAAAAAAATTTTTGTACTTTAGACGTTTCTGTTAATATGTCCGTTAAGCTAAATGCTGAACAACTTTTTCCATCGAAATGGATAGTCTAGATGGTTCAGATATTTTTTCTGTGTACAGTATTCTACAAAATTTTTAATTTAATTTAAGATACATTGATAATACAAACATTAAAAGTTTTTTATGCATTGTTACACACAGCTTAATTTCTCGTAGAAGATTTTGTCGTATTTTAATATTATCAACTGAACCAGAATTTTCTTTTATGGCAGTAGATAATCTATGTCTGTAAAAAATGATTAATTAGAACTTTTAGACCACACAGACTATTCCTGAGCAATAATTAATAGTTTATCTGTACAATTTAGTCTAATCTAAAGTACTAAACACGATCATTACAGAGTGCTGCCTCAGGATTGCGCTGGATATCGAACATCTTGTTTAGCTTAAGATTTTGAATTATTACGAAAAGATCGAAGTGGCCCAATTCCAAATTTTGTCAACCTCTTTTAAATGTGAACGCCAGCTTATAAAGCTGGTTAACTGTGTTTTTATTCAGGAACATTAGGTTTATAAGGGTGTGAGTACAAAGGTACAGTGAATTGCTTAATTCACTGGAGGAACTAAAACCAAGGGAATCTTCGATTTAGTAAAGGTTCACCTTTACTGTTTTCATATTCTAAATATTGGAACTAATGACGGAATTTGACAATGATTAATGCAAAATAATGTTTTGCACTCACTGTCGGACGACCGACTTATAACATTTAGATTAGAATCGACAGATCAAGAATACATGTATAGTTGTAATTCCAGGAGTATTAATTAGATTACACTACCGTCCACGAGTATCAGAACGATTACAAGCGACTCTATGAAAAAACATGCCATCCCTTCTTTAATCATATCTCGTAAATAAAAGGAGATAGAAAAAAATCGTAAATACGGTTAGAAATCTGATTAAATTTTGCGTAAAATAAGCTGTCCTTGAAGTCATTTTGTAAACTATTTTTTGAGTTGTAGAGTGAGAAAGAAATAAAAAAATATCAAATTTTCACATTTTTGTCTCTTGACTTCAACTTTTTCAAAAATTTAGAAAAATTTAGATAAAATTTTTCTAAAAACATAAAAATCTTGGTTAGAATTTCAGCTTTAAAATAAGCCTTCGGAAATTAAAAAAAATCGGACAAGTGCGAGTAGAACTCGTACTAAAACCGAGGGTTCCGTACCCTCGTTTAAAACTTCTACTTTTTTGATGAAAAAAATATAAAGATCATCTCTAATATTTCTTGCTGCATTTTTACTGGTATCTACATGTAAAAAAAAATAAATAACCAATTTTTATCTCTTCAGATAAAAAACTGTGGGCTCTAGTGTAAAAAACACGCTATTTTGACTAAATTTTTAAAAATTTTGAGTTTTTCGCTGAAAAAAATATGAAGATAAAATCCAATCATGTTCGCTATATTTTTCCTGAAATCTACACATGAAAATACATAAAATAAGTAAAACTAGTTCAATAGGCCAAGAATTATGAAAACCAAGAGGGGGTACACACTTTTTTCTAAATAAATAAAAATGTCTAGTTTTTCGCAAAAAAAATATGAAGATGAACTCCAATAATTTTTTCTGTAATCTACACGTGAAAATAAATAAAAAATGCCCAACGCTAGTCCACTAGACTAAAAATTGAGAGAACCGGCAAGGGTTAAAGAATTTTCGAGCTTGCAAAAAGAGATTTTAGTTTTTCGATGAAAACACCATAAAGATCAATTCTAATCACTTCCGCTATATTTTTCCTGTAATCTACGCAAATAATACATAAGTATGCCAATTTTTAGCTCTCTAGGTAAAAAACTGTAGGCGCCAGGGGGAGGGGGTACATGCATTTTTTCTAAATTTTCGCCTTTTTTGCGAAAAACGGTCAAAATTTGATGTTTTTCTCGGAAAACTCTATGAAGATCAACTTCAATCACGTTCGCTATATTTTTCGTGTAATCTACGCGTGAAAATACTATACGTGTACCAATTTTTAGCTCTCTAGATGAAAAACTGTGAGCGCTAGGAGGGGGTACATGGTCAATGTACTAATCGGTCGAAACACAGCTTCACATTCTTAATGATATATCAAAGACGGATTAATCTTTTTTAATTTACAAAGGCTTATTTTAAACCTGAAATTCAAACGAAGATTTCTGTGTTTTTAAAAAACTTTTATCTAAATTTTTCTAGATTTTTAAAAAAGTTGAAGTCAATAGACGAAAATGAGAAAATTTGATAGTTTTTTTTATTTCTTTCTTACTCTACAACTCAAAAAATAGTTTACGAAATGACTTCAAGGACGGCTTATTTTACGCAAAATTTAATCAGCTTTCTAACCGTTTTTAAGATTTTTTGTATCTCCTTTTATTTACGAGATATGATTGAAAAAGTGATGGCATGTTTTTTCATAGAGTCGCTTGTAATCGTTCTGATACTCGTGGACGGTAGTGTAATCTAATTAATACTCCTGGAATTACAACTATTCTTGATCTGTCGATTCTAATCTAAATGTTATAAGTCGGTCGTCGGACGGTAGTGTAGATATTTGAAAAACAGTCCTTTACATGATCTCAGCGGAGAAGCCCCTCATTGAATCTTCAATTGATAGCGAGAGATAGAAGGAAACCTCCGTAGAAGGTCTTATATATTTGTAAGCCTCTAAATACAGCCGTCCTCGTGATATTCGGAAATTATTATATCTGTAGTATGTAGGATATCCTGAATTTCCCGATCCTGTTAGGGCGGGTTCTTTAAGCCAGTTAAATGATCAGTTAAATGATCATCAGTGAGAATTGCGTTATTCTACGTAGTTCGCAAGTCGATTCTGCAAACTGAAGAATCAGCAAGCAGGCAGGGATTTATAAATCGAGTCAGCCTCTATAAGTGTCAGACGCAGCACTCTTTTAAGATAAAAATAAACCTTCACGCTACGGAGTCGAGGTATCCAGGGGTAGAAATATTAAAAATATCACAAATATTAAGTATCGTAATGTCTGTTCGAATCTTGAACCAAATTAATAGCAAATTCTAAGTTAACTATCAAAATTTCCATTACTTTTGAAAACTTAAAAGTACAGTAGAACCCGGTTAATACGATTCTGTAAAGACCGCGCTAAGAATGCGTCTTATGCGGGAAAATGTATTAGGCGGGAAATAAAATGTATGTCTTTAATTGCAGGGACCACCATAAATAAGCGTTTTAAGCAGAAAAACGTATTAAACGGGATCGTATTAACCGGGTTCTACCGTATTATATTTAAAAATCTTGATGAATTTAATTTTTTTAACAACATGCAAGAAAGGTTTTGAGTACCCTGGGTAGCCTCGGGTACTCCTCGATACAAAGAAAAACTTACAAACACTCCTAAAACTCGATAATATCAGAGCGATTGTCTGCTCACTGGATACGGCAATAATTCTACTACTCTAAGATACTAGAAGAGAACTATCTCAACTACAAGCTAAAATCATTTATTATATTATTAATAATATTACTTTAGTATTTACCAACTTAAACCATCAATTGAGTTTACCGAATTATTTCAAATATTCCACAAGCATGTTCAAGAAACATTAAGAGAAGTGTGTCTCCATTCACTAAAGCAGCGGTACATAAATATGCGGCTATATAACCGTGAAGTGATATCAAATAGTAGTACTTCTTTGATTCTACTCCATAATCAAAAAGAAAAACATAATTTTCACTATCACGTTTTATAATATTAATTAATAAGGGGATAAAGTGTGAAAATACATAAACTGTTACATGTCCAAAAGATCCAACTAAAAATGACAATAATTATTTAGATATTTTAAAAATGGGCAAAAAAATAAACTTATTTAATAATATTATATATTAAGCAACAACGGGACAAAGACAGCTATTTGTTTACTTCGTGACACTCGTTTCGGTCTTGGGGCGACTACGCCCCCCTCGATTTCCACCTGTGTCACAAAAATCTTCGTAAACACATTGGGCTGCCTTTGTTTCCGTGTTATTTCCGATATTTTTTATTCCTAATGCACAAAAGTGGCGACTTGAGATAGAAAACGACAGGGAGTAAAATTCATTCACTTGTT